TCAAAGCAAACTCTTTGTTTTATCTTGGTCAAGACAACGGATTTTATTTGCCTTATGAGCCTGTAGGATGCGTAACCTAAATGTGAGAAAGCTTGAGGATGCCAAAGAAGTTGGTGGGCGGGGAGCACAGTCCCCAGCATGACTGCCATGGGCTCCAGACGCGCAGATACCGCAAGATAAACAGAGAAAACTCGGGTCTGCCTCATACATGCCACCCTCAGCCAGATTTGGAGCTCCCATCGCCTCCCAGTGTCACTTCTACATATGCAAATCCAATGGCAGGCAGAAACAGTCAGCCTTAGAAGCTTCCTGCAAGGCTGAGGAAACACTGACACTGATGCCCTGCCCAGCCCACTGACCCAACCTAGCAATTGAGGAGACCTGTCAAGGTCATTAAGCCCAGCACCAGGACTCCTCTGCAGCTCAGCATCCACGGGTTCGCCCTCTCCTGGTCTCAAATGGCATGAGCCAGGGAAGGAAAGTGTGAACCGCAACATTTCCTATGGGAAACTCTTCCTTCGCATAGTGCATCTCCAATGGGGAGATCACTGCTTTTCCTATGGGCCCTCAGGGAATTCCAAGGGGGCAAACGAATTCTCCATGTGACTGTGCCTGGGTCTGGCTGCCTGCGATGGAGCCTGGGAGCTAGCAGGCTCTGTGCCCAGAGCACCCACACGGGACCGTGATGGCACCCATAAACTCTGCTCACACAGATGCAAAGAAGGGGACACGTGAATGAAAATGCAACCAGAGCTGAACACGATGTAATGAGTTTGTGAACAGCGGTCCTGGGGGGCAGAGTTGTAAAGCCAAAGTACCATTACACCTACATCACCTGGCCTTCTTCCTAACATCCTCAGTGCCCAAAATACACCCCAAAAGGAACTGAGGTCACCAAGCCCCCCACTGCCCTCCCCAGGCGGGCAGAGAGCCATCCGCATGGCATCCCGGATCAGGCAGCATCTCCATGATTGGATGCAATCGTCTCCCCCGCACATGCTCCCACTTCTTCATTCCAAGTCACTGGTGCTGGAGGTTGCCATTTTTCCAGATTATCTAACTTCTGGCACCTGAGATCACAAACCGGGACTCTGCATTTCTCACTCAGCCCCTCCATTTGGTGGCTTAGGATGTTGGCACTTTCCCGTTAAAAATAATGACAACAACAACAACAACAAAAGACTACCCGTAATCTAGCCCAAATGTGTCAGCTGGTTTTAAGGAAATGTTTC